AAAAAAAACATTTGAAACTGTTTTAGAGCCTGCAACATATTTGTAAAGTATTTTCAATGATTGCAGTTTTTTCACTTTAGGAGTACATTTTCTAAAAAAGTCAAAAGTATGGTGATGGTGAATAATAGAGGTAACAATTTATAGATAGATAGATAAACTCATTTTGGCCAAATTTGCTTTATGTTAAGGCAAAGTCTCCTTAAGTCAAGCTTCTTTGGCTTCATAGAGCAGATAATCTGGTGAAGTTACCCTCAGAGGAGAGGTATATTGAGGCTCTGGAATAGGAGAGCTCAAACACATAGGTGGCACTTGGAACCCATTTCTGTAGGTAGCTCTGAATTGTTCTTATCTGCTCCATTCTCCTCTTGTTACCAATTGACTCCCTCTATTTTGCTCATTTCCAGGCTCTCTCTCTGATATAAACAATAGAAAACCTAATGCAAACTGGCCTTGACAATAAAGAGCTACATTGATTTTCTATATAAAGTCTGGAGGTGGGGTAGCCTTGAGTTTCCAACATTCAGATCCCATGAGAGTGGGAATAAGCAGGTTTCCCACCTCTAGACAGGTTCTCCTTAGGACAGGCCTGAGGACTGACAGGGGACCAAGTTTTCTAATCCATCACACATATGAGTCAGTCATTCACAAACAGGATGGTGGTGAGCAAACAGCAAGGTGACCCCTGGTGCCCATCAGACAGTCAGTTCTGTGTGGAGCGGACTGCTGCCAGGGCTCAGGGACTCAGGGCTTTGTGCAGAGACAGCCAGGGATCTCCCAACCACACCTGTCAGGGAGTAGATGAGGAGCTGTCTGGAGCAGGGCCTCAGGGCTCAGGAGCCAGCAACACCCTTTCCTATAAGTTTCTGAAGAACATAGATACGTCTAAGCAAACAGTTCCCTTGCTGAGAAACTAACTCTAGTCATAAGGTTGATAAGCTTTGTGCATTGGGAGCAGGGTCCAAGATGTGAGTCTCTGGACATAACAAGGGTATAGGTACATATGAAACCACTGGCACCGCAGCTAGCGGGAGGCATGGACCTTGAGGTAGGGGCTTAGAAAGAGCAAGAAGCTATCTACTAGCACTTCCTCCCAGTGTTGGGGGGTGTGTGTTTAGGTATATAAATCAGCCCCCCACCCTCTGGCCTTCTCAAGTGGTAGTTCTCAGTTCCTGCTCTGGGTGGAGGTGGGATGGATTTCCTCCTTATTACTCCATTACTCAGTGCTATTTATAAACCATTCCCCTTGCTTTTTCTTAGCTTCACCACTTGCATTGAATTTATTGTTAAACTCTACCACTCACTCCTTTTTGGGTTATACTCATCTACCAACCTCCAGGTCTCTTCCTGAAATCCCTTGAAGATTGTTGTGCCTGGCTCTAGCCAACTCTGTTATCATGTATCTTGGTGATCTCACTGACCTCAGGAATAATCCATCCAGCGTTCTGGCTCATTTCTCTGGTCTCTTTTCCAGGAAGCTTGCTTTTTCACCTCTCTCAGCACGCCCACCCTTACTTGTACAATGCACTTTGACAGAAGCAATATCTGCAGCCTCGCCATACTCTGTTTCAAGCATTCCATGCTCAGATCACCACCTATTTTTCAGTACATCCTTTCTAGTATCCTGCCCTAATAAACTGTGGACCCCTCTCCCTGCTGGTCCGGAAACTACATATAGTCTCTGGACCCTAGTAGATTTACAGTGTTGCTTACTTGCCACTTGACCTCCCTTCCCATATTACCAATCTTCCATTTCACGGCAGTGATTTAATTATATCCTTGAAATAATCTTCAACTCCCTTGTTCCTTTCTTGCTTGAGAATAATATATTGGTAAAACCTCAGTGCTGGTTAAAATTAAATTTTCCATCAACTTTATGCCAGTAACCATGCAATGGAAGAAAAACAACCATACTGACTAGTCTCCCTTTACATTCATAATTATGAACACCACATGGGTCCATAAAGCCATATGGCAATGTGCATATCTCTACTTCATATTTCCGCTCTCTGGACAACTATTTTCTACCTTATCTTCCTCAAACCTCCAACATGTCTTCCTCAATTTTATTAATTGATGATCCTGTTTCCTATTTGTATTAGTTATATCTTTCTGTGTCACAAATTGCCCCAAAATTTAGCATCTTAAAACAACAAACATTGTATCATGCAGTTTCTGGTTGGATGTTTGGTTCAGGGTCTCTTATGAGCTGGCAGTTTAGTTCTGGGAGTTGGAGTTGGGAAGATCCACTTTCAATGTCATTCACAGGCTGTTGGCAGGAGCCTTCAATTTTTGCCGTGTGGGCCTTTTTTTAGGGCTTCAGGTGACATAAATGGTTTCCCCCAGAGCAAGTGATCTGAGAGAGTGAGAGTGAGAGCAACAGTGAGAAAGTGAGAAAATGAGAGGGAGAGAGGGAGAGCTTGACACAGCATCTTTCACAACCTAATCTCTGAAGGGACACACCGTCACTTCTGCCATATTCTATTGGTCACATAGACCAACCCTGGTATGGTGTGAAAGGGAACTACATAAGGGTGTGAATGCCAGGAGGTGGGGATCATTAGAGGCCATCATGAAGGCTGACTACAATACTATTTTACAGAGAAAATAGAGCAATCAGAAGAGAACTTTCACAAGCTCCCACCGCATTACCCAATTACCAGTATATATTCGATTTCCACTGCTAGTAAGAATTAACTGCCCCTCTTGCTACCTAAAACCAGTCTCTCAATTTGTTCACTACATCCCATTCCCTCTTGCCCATTTAAGGACTTGGATGCAAAAAAATCACGCCCCACCCCCACCCCCGCCTCCTGCATTGCCAGTTCTCTCTAGAGATTTATTAGTAGGTAATCCCCATCAACCAAAAACATGTTCTGTGATCTGATTTTGGAGAAAAGATCGCTGGGTTAGCCTATTACCCAGAGGCCCCTATGATCTGACCTCTCCTTTCAGCTACCCATTTCTGTGTGTCCCCTTACAACAAAATTCATTGAAAGAGTTGTCTAAAATTGCTGTTTCCAATTCTTCCTCCCCTTCTCTTTCCAGTCTACTTATCAGGCTTTTGTTCTCCAGCTACTCCAAAAACATTGCTCTTTTAATAGTCATCGATGACCTCCACATTGCTAAAGCTAATAGTCTATTCTCAGTCCTCATCGTATTCGACCTATCAGCAGAATTTAACACAGATGGTCTGTCCTCTTTAAAGAAACATTTCCTTCACTTGACTTTCAAGGTATCACACACTCCTGGTTTTCTTAGTTTACTGGCTGATCCTTCCTGATCTCTTTGCATTCCCCACCTATTCTCTTCAGCCTATTTAGTGTTCCAACACCCCAGGGCTCAGTCCTTGGAAGTCTTTTCTTATCTGTCTACAATTCAGTCCCTCGATTATTTCATTTAGACTCATGGCTTTCAATCCATAGGCTAACAATTCCAAATTTATATTTATAGCCCAAACTCTCCTGTGACCTACAGACACTTTTATCATACTAGCTTCTTGGGTGTCAATTAGATAAATACAACTTAATTCTGTCTCAAGCTGAACTCCTAATCTCCCCCCTCCCAAAGCTACCTTTCCACCATTTCCCCCATCTCAGTAAATGGCAACTTCATATTGTAAATTGCCCAGGATGAAATCACCGGAAGTTTCTTTGACTCTTCTCTCTACCTCATCCCCCACAATCCATATCCAACCTTCAGCATGTCCTCAAAGTCCTGCCTCTCAATATACCCAGAATTCAATGACCTCTCACCATCTCTGCCACTGCTTGTGACCCACCTCCTGGTGGGATTAGTGGAATAGCTTCCTAATTGGTCTACTTGCTTATACCCTTGCCCTACTAGTGTACTCTTAATACAGCATCCAAAATGATTTCTAAAAAATATTTAAGTCACATTATGGCATTCCTATTTGCTCAAAACCCTCCAGTATCTCTCCATCTTAATGGTGGCTTACAACACTCCATGACTGCCCACTCCTAAAATTTGACCTTTTTAAAAAATTGAAGAATCGTTGACGTACAATCTTGTATTGGTTTCAAGTATACAACACAGTGGCTCAACAGTTACCCATGTTAAATCCTCACCCCCCACCCCCACCCCAGTGCACTATCTGATTGACCTCTTGTCTTAACATTCCCCACCACACACACTGCACCAGTCACTCTAGCCTCTTTGCTGTTTTTTTGCCAGGCAAGTTCCCACCTTGGAGTAATAGGACTTGCTGTTGCCTCTCCCTGGAATGCTTAACCCTTAAATTTCACCTCTCCTCCCTCAAACATACTGTTCATCCTTCTCTGCTTTTATCTTACTGTACTCATCAGCATCAGATGTATTTACTTATTTATTTGGTTACGTCTCCTCATAATCTAAGTGTCATGAGCAAGGGTTATGTTTTGCTCAATGCTATGGATTTCCAGTGCCTAGAACGATACTGGCATATAAAGAGCTCTCAGGTACATTTGTTAAATGAACTAATAAACAAACTGGTATGTCACAAAGATAATCAGATATCAGAACTTGGAGCAGAGAGGGAGACCACTTACGAGGCTGCGGTGTTCAAATATAAGAATATGTGTGAAATAGCACTGTAAACGTAATGAGGCGTGCAAAGGATTAGCATGATTTACTGTTGGCTTAGTTTGTTGGCTTGAGGTAGCCCTGCCAGGCCCGCCTTCTTCCATTCTCTCCCCGTGTTTCCCTCCACTGGCACTCCTGTCCCGCCCTGACATTAGCTCTTTAGCCCAACGCATGCCTTTTCCTGAAGGTTCTGGGATGGTCTCGGTGCCCGACACACGGTAGCACGGCCAGCCCGGCAAACACGCCCGGCGTGCCCCGTTCCTCTCGCCTCCACAGGCCCCACCCACCCAGCCAGAAGCGGAGGTGACGTAATAGCTCGGCGCCCAGAACCCCGCCCCCACGCCTTCCCAGCCCCGGGAGGTGACGCAGCCCGGAAGGGGCCATGCTAGGCTACGTAGGGGCGGGGCGGCGGAGGTAGTGCTCCCCCGGGGGAAATTGACCGTTTTCCTGGGCGGTGTCCTTAGTGTTTGGAGTAGTTTGAGTCGGTGGCGGGCTGCGGGTCGATACGGGGCCGGTGCCATCTCTGCAGGAGTGGGTCCCCGAGGTCTCAGGAACAGGATTATATCTGGCCTGGGACTCCCCGGTGTTCAGCGCTTTCCCCAAACCCGGATACCGGTTATTTGGAGTCTTTGCCTCAGACCCAGGTTCCCACCCCGACCCTCCCAGCCCCCTCTCTCTGGCTGCTGCGGGCATTGCTCTCTTTCCAGCTCCTCTGCTACCAGTGGGCACAATCTTCGTTCTCTCAGTCACCTCCTTTTCTCTCTCCCCTCTAATCTTTTTATTTTAAAGCAATCTTTAAATCCTTCCCTTTTCATCTTTCTACTTCTTTCCGTTTTCCTTGCTTCTCCAGAATCCTTGTCCTTCGACTTCCTGTTCGGCCACTTCCTTCCCAAAGGCTTCTCCTCTTTTCAAGGCTTCTCCTCTTTTCAGGAGCCTGTGGCTCATGTGTTAGGAGATTGAGCCTTTAACGCGATCGTGTGAAGATTTTAAGCTTTTTCCTCTCTCCTAAGCAGAAGTCACAGATGCCAGGAAGTATGGCCCCCCTTAAGAAACCTCAAAATACCAAAAAGTTGCCTTTGGCTTTAAACCCCCTGAAGAGCAAGGACGTGTTGGCAGTGCTGGCTGAGAGGAACCAGGCTATAGTACCAGTTGGGGCATGGGTAGAGCCTGCGTCGCCAGGTAGTTCGGAAATCCCAGCATATGTGAGTGTCAGTTTGATCCAAATATGGTGGTGTTCCTCTCCTATCTTTCTTTTTATTAACCTTCTTTAATTTCTGGTGCTTGGATAAAGGTGAACAGTCTGGGGACGCCGTTTCTATTAAGTTATAAATAGATACATTCTTGTACTAAGATTTTGGAACAAACACGTATTTGCCAAAACTTGCTGCAGCTTTATATACATATCAGTTTACTTCACAAACTCGATTGCTTGCTATGCACAAAGCCAGCCACTGTCTATATCTTCCAGGTACCCTAGTAACATAATAGGGAAGACAAGTGGTCACACCTAATGTAACAATTGATTGCTTAAAGTTAATAAGTTTCTAGTGGAGATTCAGAAAGATTCAGATGCAGTAAGAGAAAAACGGAGGAAGAGATTAATTCTGACTGGATTCTGAGAAGGTTTAACTATAAATTCCATGAGGACAGAGACCTTTTTGTTCATGCTTGTCCCAGCATGCAGGAAGTCTTCAGGAAATATTTATTGAATGCATGTATAAGGAAATACGTTTCTGTATTGGTCCTTGAAAAATAGAGGTGCTCTAAGTACAGGTGGTAGGGAAGAGCATTTCAGATAAAGGGAAACTTTTGCAAAGTTTGCATGTATGCCTGTTTTCACAATAATTCTTATACACATTAATACAGGAGGACAATTTTGTGAGATTTTTTTATTCTTTCACCAAACTGTGCCCCTTTGCTATTTGTGTGAATTTTACTGTGGCACTTACCGCATTATAGTTATGGTAAGTCGTTTGATGTCTACTTTACCTGAGCCCCTGGAGCACGGGGGGAGAAACTTATTTGTGATCACATCCCCGCCTTTATCTTAGTGCTTTACAAGTATAGGCACTCGGTAAATATTTATGGATGCACAAAATGTGTGATGGTCTTCTGAATGTATAGCAAAGTGCTGAACGTGTGGTGAAAAGTGCTTTTTGATCTCTGATAAGAAATGACACATGTTTAAAGCAAATGTTAAATAGCAATGCAATGTCATATATTCATTTTTTTATTTATGTTTGTATATATGTATGTACATACCCATTTATTCCTACTCTCCCTATTTCCACAAAAGATTTTAAGAGTCTGGGTAGCATATGATTAAGTGCTAAGAATATGGTGCTTCATCAAAGAGGAAAGATAGACTTTGGGTTGATGTGATCCAGGAAACTTGAATAAAGAATTTGGATAATTAGAGGAGAAGGGGACTCATTCTCCAGTTAAGGAGAATGGGGAGAATAGGAAGTAAGCAAGATATATCCAGATTCTAAGGGTAAATTAGATTGATTGGAGTGGAAGGCTTAGTAGGGGGATGGTGGTTGATAGGATTCTGGAAAATAGGAGTAGCAAGAAAATTTTGGAGAAGGGATTGACTTCATTCATTGTTTAATATTTACAGATGAACTTCATGATCAAAAAGGGTTTTGGTTAGATTAATTGCTTCAGAGTTTTTAAAGGTGAGAGATAGATTGATTCCTACGGGACAAATTAGGATTTAATTGTAGCAATTTAGGCGTGAGGTATAGCATCCAGACTTGTTTAGTGGTAAGAAATGGAGAAGGAAAGCCTTGAAAAAGGGTGACTAAAGTGGGAACAAAGAGTTAAATGTTAAGAAACATCCCAGAAGAATCAGTAAGATTCAGGACAAAGGTATTTTGGTATTTAAATTATTAACACCTCTTTTTAATTGCTTGACGTCTTTATAACGTCAGTAGCATCAAAATGCTAAAAATCACCAAGGTTTCATTTTTCTATGTTAGAAAGAATTGAGTTTCATGGCTCCACACATTAACTCAAAATATTGAAGTGTTGGAACATGTATGTCTTCTTTCCTTCACTAAGAAAATTTTGATCAGTAAAAATCAGAGGCAATATGATCAAGCTTCAATAGAACTCTTACTGCTTAGGCATATGTAGTCTGGGTAATCCACCCTTACTAGCAAGTGTAGCTCCTGTCAGCTCAGAACAGATGATTAGTAGTTACTTCTAAACCTTGGTAGACTTAAGATTATGTCTATTTTAAGGGGAAACTCCTGATCATTTTTGTCCCCAAAGTTTCAAGGAAACATCAGGATTCCTAAAAATGCTGTAGCTTCAGACTCCAACTCCCTTATTTAAGTTAGCATCAAAAGATACTGCTGTCCTATCAGCACATAAAGCTATTACATTATTTTATGATTTATGTGGTTCTACTATTGTGTAACAAGCACCCTCGAACTTAGTGGCATAAGGCAAATGACACTGTGTGTCAGGAATTTGAGCTGGGCACAGTGGGCATGGCTTTTTGCCCATGGATTGCACCCTATGGTTAGTCCATAGGGTGGAAATGCTCCACAAAGTCTGAGGCCTCATTTGGGGTGGCTCAGATAGCTAGAGATGTCTGGGAGAACTTGACTGGATTCTGGCTGTTGGTTGGATTTCTTCATTTGCAGAGCTGTTAATGTCCAAGATGGTTTTGTCACCCACAGAGTGGCCCTTGGGCCAGGATGACTACATTGGCTGGGGACTGCCTGACACTTTCTCTTTCTACACAGCCTCTCTACTTGGCCAGCTTAGGCTTCCTCTGCAAGGTAGAATTCTTATATGGTGTCTGGCCTCTCCTAGAGTAAGCTCTTCAAGAGCCCATAAAGAAGCTGCTTTATGACCTTGCTTCGTGAGTCATGGAGCCAACATTTCTGCCTATTCTGTTGAATATACAGAGCCAGACTACATTCAGTATGGGAGATGACTACACGAGAGTACAAATAGTAGGAGACTTGATCCATTGCAGGGAAAAGGGGAAGTCATCTTGGGAGACTAAATATGTAATCTAAGTATCAGTTCCATCATGTGTGTGTTGTCCAAATCTGTTCTTCGTTGTGAGAAACATTTCTTTCTATATTCCCCCCTTCATGCAAGAAGGCTTGAAAAGTTAATTGTGCAATTCAAACAGTATTTATTTTTGTTTAACCCAATATTTCTCAAATTTATTTGACTATGGGAATCTCTTCATATTCCATGGAACAAATATTTTTGGGTTCTAGTTGCCAAACACAACGGTGTTTGCTAAGGAAAATATTTCTGAAGTATGGTATGCTCTGATCTTTGCTTTACAGTTGAGATCCATCATTTGGAATCAAACTTATACTTGACCAAGATATTTTATAATCTCAGTGTGGAGGTAAAGGGGTACAGGCAGAGACAATGGAAGTAAAAGAAAGAGTCAGGATGACTTAGACATGTTTGGGGCTTATTAATCTGGGTCACTTATTCAGGCTTTACTACATATATCTCTTCTTTGAAATTATTTGACCTAATCGTTCTTTGATAATTTGTTTTGTACACCCTACTCCCATGTTACATACTCTTGTAGAGTAGTTTATGGCATAGATTTCTTGGAAAATTTGGAATTTAAATTCATTTGATTTTGAGAATTTAATGACAGCCTTTGAAATAATTTAAAGCACCCTTCAGAAGTAGAATTTGGAATCACTGTGTTAGAAGAGGGGATAGGTAGGAGGCATCATGACGATTTTGAAGGTTCTTTATGAAAGAGAGACACAGTCAGGAGAAAAGCAGTACAATATAGGGCACAAGTGTTGGAATCAGAAATTTCTAGCTCTACTACTCACCAGCTATAGGATTGTGGGCTACTACTAAAGATTAATCTGAGTCCTAGTTTCCTCATTTTTAGTATTAAAGAGGTAAGAACAGCTACTATTGGAGGTATATTTTGAGGATTCAGTGATATAATTAAAGTGCTTGTCTCATAATAGACCTTTAATAGTGGTCACTGCTATTACCATGCTGACTCTGTTGCTCAAAGCAGTGAGAAGAGGGGAATACTGATCAGGGACTCAGATGGGATACGATGTTCCAGATTGTAGACTATGTTTTGGAATTGAATGGTTACATAAATATTGAGTGCATTTGTATTCAAGGCTCTGTGTTATATACTATAGGGGAAACACAGAATTAAATACATTTCCTATCCTTAAAGTGTTCGTAATCTAATGGAGGAGTTCATAAGTTTTATAGTCAATACTAGTAAGAATGAGAGGTACCATAGCATAAGAGAGCTCAGAGGAAGAAAGGGCTGTGGATGGTACTGGTTGGTGGGTATTAGACAGTCTTGAAGATTGAATAGGCCTTTACTAGATGGCAGTGACAGGAAGAGCATGCAAAGTTAAAAATGGAACATAAATTCTATGTATGAAGGCATTTTTTTGATAGGACAGAATTCAGTGAGTGGTAAGCAATCTGGTATCTGGACTGTCATACTTACTTTGGAAAATGTGTAACATAAGATAGGTTTGGATTGGTTCACAAAGAATTAATGAAGGTACCTTTAGTTCTTGGTTCAATGAATAACTCAGATTTGATTTGTGTACTCAAAAATTTCAATTTGAAGTTTGCGGTTTGGTTTAAATTCTTGGTACTAATTAACAGTGTCTTAAGTATTCAGCTCTGAACTCTTGTGATTCCTCACTGTATTGGGAGTTTTGGACTATAGAACTAAATTATTGCTTCAGGATTATATCCTGACTGCTTTGTGTTTACAACAGAGCCCTAATGGGCAAAACTACTGATATTTAAGTTTATTTTCTTTAATATTTAAAGACTTCAGCATATGTGATTGAAGAAGAACTAAAAGAACAGCTAAGAAAAAAGCAAGAAGCTCTGAAGCATTTTCAGAGACAAGTTAAACACCGAGTAAATCAACAAATCAGACTGCGAAAAAAGCAGCAACGTCAGAGGTCTTCTGCAGCAGTAAGTTCCAAAGTGAGCATGATGAACCGACTGTATGGACAGTATGGACAGTGTGTGTGTTAGGAGAGAAGCTATACAGAATTGCTGTGTTTTGATTCCATACTTTTAAAAATTTTATTTACTAATAAGGAGAGTAGATTTGTATGTAGAGAACTCGTGTTTTACTTCTGTGTTGTTCTGACTCACTCCTGTGCTTTCACCAGATAGTTATAAACAATGTCATGAGTTTTGGATCTGGGTTTAAATTCTGGCTTTGCTACCTACTAGCAATGTGACCTTAGGCTAATTACTTAATTTCTCTGGACGGTAGTTTTCCCATCTGTAAAATGGGGATATGATACTTGTCTCACAGTACTGTTGTGAAAATTTGATGAGGTGATGTAAATTATTTGCATGTAGTAGGTGCCTGGTAAATGTTAGTTTCTTGCCAGGTAATGATTCCCCCTCTCTATTCAACCATGATTTAAAATCTTATGGGCTGCTTATAGGCATTATTTGATTGGAGCGGATTGGAGCGGAATCTCACTAGCGGAATCTCATTGTTTCTTCCTTTGTGTAGGCAGGAAAAGAAGGCTCTATAGCTCTGCAGTCTTCAGATCCAGCACACCGCACTCCTAAAAGAGCAGGTGTTTTTCCAAACAATTTGAAGGCTGCTATTGAAAATGCCAGATTACCTCCTTCCCAGATGCGTGGGGGTGAAATAGAAGATAGAGAGAATCAGGATGAATTATTACAACAGCAAGCCCAGGCTGTAAGTACATATTCATTTTATTTTGTATCTGTGCTTTTTTTTAGATGAAGTGGAGATGAAGAGGTATCACATTCAGTTTCACTTTTTATCCCCTCCTTTTTTTTTAACATTTGTGAAGTGGGGAATAGTTGAGTGATGTTCATTTTTGTATATATATATTTTAAATTTATATTTATTTTTGGCAAGACTGTTCAGAATCATCTAGACAAAGGCACCAAAGCGTTAGAGATCAAAACTTATTGGAAAGAGCTTTTGATCAAGGATCATAGGTTTTCCCAGTTGTACTGGAATTATGTTATAGGTAAATTACTTTTAGTACATAGCATATGACCAGAACTGATTCCTAAGTTCTATTGCAGAAAGGTTCAGTACATTATATGGGGCATTTCATTCATTATTTTTATCTCTCTTTTCTGTCTTTTAATATAGATCACAATAAATCTATAGATAAAGTAGTAATATAGTAAACCCTCAGTAACATAGAGGTTTTAAAAAATGTAACTTTTATTTAGTGATTCATCTTATATATCTGATATTTAAAAATTAACCACCACAAATAGATTCATCCACTCAAATCATTTGACACCATGCGATCACCACCTACCTAGTATACCTGAGCTTTTGAACAGTTGATACCATAGCCTTCATCTGTGCTGTGGGAATTATTCTTCATTTTATCATTTGAAAATGTATTCCTTGGGATGGTGAAAGGAGAGGAAAAGTGTGGAAAATGATGATGATGTGAAAATAGAAGTTGCATAACTGCTGATGGTCATAAGTATTAAGCAAATCTGACTGTGTAATAAGTGTAAATAAGGAAAACTAGGGAAAACTTGACAAGCGCATGTTATGTTGAAATACTTTAAAAAAAACATTTTTCTTTGTCCCAAACTATGATGTTTTCTTGTCATTGTTTGGTTTGTAGGAATCATTTTTATAATCATTTTTACTTTCTTTTTTAAGATTATGAACAATTTGTTGAGCAAATACTTATTGAGCCACACACTGCATAAACTAAAGGGATAGTATGTTGACTAAGACAGACATATTTGTGGTGCTTGTATCTATAAATCCCACTGTAGTGAGGATTTTTACTGCATCTGTATAATATATAAATAGAAAAGACCTGTCCATAAACATTTGAATATACTGTATTTGTTAAACATTGTAGGGATACTAATGAAATATGAAATAGGACCCTTCATGAGTTTATATTTCCAAGTAGAGATACAAAGCTAATATTCTCCCAATATGTTAGATAATACTATAGAGATATTTGCTGTATTTGGTGATAAAGTTCTGGCAGTTCAAAAAATTTTTAATTCCAAGGAAATAGTTGTGGAAGAATTCCTGGAAGAGGTGGAGTTGAGCTGTGTATTTTGATTTGGTAAGCTGAATTGAATTGGTAAATTCAAGAGAATTTGAGATGGGAGGAGCAGTTAAGAGTCTAGAATATGTATGAACATGGAATATTTGGGAATAAGTGATGGAACCTTTCTAATTGATAGTTTATAGAGAAGAATAACAGAAAATGAGGTTGGATGGGTAGGAGAAAATAAGGTTTTGAAAAGCTTTAAATGTTACAAAATTTTAAAAAGTTTTTATACACTTTTGTTTTCTTAAAAGAAAGTGAACTACTGAAGAGTGTTCAATGACTCATTAAGCCCATAAACTTCTGCCCAGACAACTCCATGCCAATAGATGCCTTTTAATTTTAGTGTTTATGTTTCAGGTTTTATCCACTAGATGTCACTAAGAACTAGACAGTGGGTGTTTAAACACTAACTCCCATGGTTCATCTAGAACTGGTTGAGTAAGTGGTGACCATAATTCACTTTCTGAACGTTACTAGACTTCTCAATTTTCTTGCATTGTGGAGCAATAGAAACATAGATTCTTGGAGTCACTTTTAAAAGTTTATCTGACATATTGATATATTTAAGGATGAAATGATTTGATGTTTGGAGTATATACTTCAAAATAATGTAAGGGTGAGGTGAAGTAGGGGGCTTTAGAGAAAGCAAGATTGGCCAGGAGATAATAATGTTAAAGCTGTTTGATGTCTATGTGTGGTGGATGGGTTCCTTATAGTATTTTGTCCACTTCTGTATATGTTTGAAGTTTCTTATATGTTTGTTTACATTTTAATTAACAGAAAAGATATTATACAGTCTGATCTTTCTCTAAGGAATTCTTTTTATAGCATCTGAAATATATATATGGCCATCTAGTTTCTGCCAGAACACAGCCATTATTGAGCAACTCACTACTTCTTTAGACTGTTTATTTCATTTTTAGAAGGCTTGAAATTATCAAAAGTATTTTTTAAATATATTGAGTCAAAATCCCTCCAGTTTTTTACCCATTGGGCCTAGATTCACAATCTCAAATAATAGAGAATAAAATACCATGGCGTCTCTTAAGAACACTTCAAGCATTTCATGATAGCTGTCTTTTCTCTTTTTGGATTTGTACCTTCCTAATGCTGTCAGTTATTTTTATATGACATGATCTCCAGATTGCAATCTTGGTTGATTTCTTCTGAATGCCATTTCGTTTTTCAATGCTTTTTTCAAATATGACCTTTACAACTGAACACATTACTGAGCTCCAAATGTGATTTTTCTGGGACCTCTCTTATTCTGCACACACCACCCCATCCTTCTTTTAATAATAATTAGTATTACCTCTTATTCTAAGATCATTGTCTAAGATTGGGCCCCCAAAATTAGAAACTAGAATCAAAAAACTGGAAGAAAGTTCAAGTGTTCCCATAAAATAGAACTAGCTAGCTAGCCTCCTGCTTTTTGTTAGGACTGATATTCATCTGTAGGGGTTGAGTTTCTGTTATGTCCTTTGATCACTTCATTTTGGTGGGGAATTGAAGTACAACTGATCATTGTTTCATTCTCACCATGTAATAATTTTTAAATTTATCTATAGACTATTAAGTTCAACACTATTTATTTTCTAGCATGGTATAATCTACCTTTTTATTTGTTTCTCACTGAATCTTTTATTTTCTTGTTTTTTAATTTTTATTCTCTCTTTATAGTGCACATTCTCCAGCTTTTTCAAACCTGGAAATAATAATTAATTTTGGTAGCTAAGTAGTAAAGATTTAAATAATGTGAAATAACCTGCTAAGTTTTCTGTAATCTACTATTAAGAAAAACTAGTGTTTCATTTAGGCTCTTTTGGCTGCAAGAGTTCAGGCCAACCCAACCAAGGGGAAGGTTTGTTTTAGGACTGTGCATAGAGGAATAAATGCAGAATCAGAAACTCTCACAAACCCCAACTCCCTTCAGGAGTCTGTAGCCAGAGTGTTTCCGGATCTGAGGCAGATCCAGTGATCCCACCAGCATAGGATCTTTGATCATCACACTAATATTAATCATTAACTTGATTCATTTGTTCTCATATGGTGACCAACCTTCTCCATTTGCTCAAGATTAAGGGGTTTCCCAGGGCATGAGACTTTCTGTGCTAAATGTGGGACAGTTCCAGGCAAAGTTGGTCACTGTCTCTACTGTCTGCTTCTCTCACATTTACTTATTTTTCTATTGTTAACTGAGATCCTCATTATTACAGCTCCAAAACTTTGGCATACCTGAGGCTACATTAGCCTCTTTTCTGCAGCTTAGGATCTTTTAGATTCAGTTCCTGTCTCTGACTTTTTCTCTGAATACTTGCTAGTTCCTATGTAAGATAAGGGATATTTATTGGTCCCATCTGCCTTTTTGCATTAGGTCTAGGTTGCTGGCCAGCCAAAAGCTTGGTGTATCTACTTACTAATAAAAGGAAGCTAAAGCATCTGATGCTTCACATTGTGTTTTATGGGCTACAGTAAGGGTTTTGTGAGGTGAAGTTTTAATTCTATAATATTTTTGTGGCCATTGAAAAATCTAACATTTAAAAATTAGTATGTTATCATTTGCAAATAAAGTATACTTGAATAGAATTCAACTTTGGGTAGGTGTTTATGGCATTCACATACATTTAAAATTGGTATTAGATTAGTCAGTCGAGCAGGTGAAGTTCTATACATATTAGATGTCATCTATACTCTTGTCCCATCACCTACATAGTATACATTGTTTCATTTATACAATTACATGTAAATCCCATCTTTCTAATCCCTAATTATCTGAAAAAATTATATGAACAAATTAAAAAGAACTGAAGAAAGTAACAATGAATGGGGAACAATGTCATAGTAGATACCTGTATTTGTCAAATTTTATCCTACATATTTGCTTAAAGTTTTAAATTTTGTTTTAATATATGATCATTGTTTGCTTTAGATTTTAAGATTTCAGTCTCAAAATTTGTTTATATAGTATGTTTTTATTTTCTGTGTTTGGACTCCCTTTGCTTATTGATAGTTACCTTTGCCAGGTTTTCTGTATAATTACGAATTCATTTCCATCAGGGAATTCTTAAGTCTTGGTTAGAGATTCAGTGCCAGTCTTTGTTAATAACAGCAGCTACAAAAGAATGAAAACTGTATCTAAGCTTCTAATATAAGACTTTTGGACACATTTTGTATTCTGAGTACTAATATGCACATCACATATGTATGTTTAAATTTACATATGTAAATATATATGTGTCCTTGTACACATACAAATGCATATTTATACATACATATATTCAGAAGTATATGTAATGATCACCATTATCTTGCCGGAAGAGAAATGTACTTATATACCTATTTTACATAGTTTGATTTGTAACAACCCCCTATTTTTCTGTGTTTTTATTTAATGCTTATTATCATTAACTTTGGTCCTTGTATTTGTTTCCTGTGGCTGCTGTAATAAATTACCTCAAACTTAGTGGCCTGAAACGAAAGAAATTTATTCTCACAGTTCTGAAGACCAGAGTCTAAAATCAGTTTCACTAAATGAAAATCAAGGTGTCTCTTTCCACAGATACCAGGGGGATGGTTTATTGTTTGACTCTTCCAGCTTTTGGTGTCTGCTGACATTCCTTTGCTTATGGCTGCGTCTTACTAATCTCTGCTTCCCTCTTCACGTTACCTTCTCCTCTTCTGCATGTCTGATTTTCCCCTACCTTTCTCTTACAAGAACACTAGTGATGGCATTCAGGCCCATTCGGGGATTCCAGCATTAGCTGGAATCATCTCAAGGTCCTTAAGTTAGTCATATCTACAAAGGCCATTTTTCCTTATAAAGTTACATTTACAGATTTTGGGGATTGAGACATGGTATCTTTGAGTGGCCATTATTCAGACCCTCAAGCAGGTCATTGAAAGAGCCTTTAGATTGAGGTTGATGAAGGGCTATGGTAATGACAGAAGTGAATGAATGTAATGTATATTCCAAATGCTGGACCAGTTGAAATATCCTTCTTAAGGGACTAAAATCAATCTATGACTCTAATTTAGATTTGAGCTTGATGGGAAATGAAGATTATATACCCTTATTTTCAGTGTTAGAACAGGTATTTTGAATCCTTGGTCACGTTGTACAGGGCAATAACGTCTAGCTTACTTGGCAATGACTAAAAGCAGGCATATTCATGGCGCTGTATTTTTTTATAACCTCAGCTACACATATGTCTCTTTTTGTGCTGATTAACTGTGTCATGACCTCTTTAGCCACCCTGTGCTAACCAAATTTAGAAATCTTCCCTCTTAGTAGAATAAAGAGTAATGTTTCCAGCTAATTCCTCTCGCTAGCAGTATAGACCTTCTAGAACCAATGACAAAACAAAGGTGATATGCTGTGAGGAAATGTGGCTGGTAGTGAGAGTGTTTTTATCCCTAGCTCATTAGTAGTAAAAACCATAAAGTATATGTTATTTATGTCTAAATCATAGTCATGATTTCCCTTCAAGGGAGAATTGGTTTCATTAAACTTTCACTGGTCCTGGCTTTGCCATAATTTCACTGAGTAGTATGGTGGGGATATGCTTTCTTCTACATGGTATAGTGCTCAGCCTAAAATATGGTACTTTGTTCATTTCTGTATTTCCTTAAGGGAACATTCTGTGCTAATTTGTGAAATATAAAATAGGCTGTTAACGAGTTCTAAGTTAACTTAGGAAGTCTTCCTGGGAGAAGGGAAATTTGAGAAGAGACTTCAAATGGAGTCTTCAAATGTTAAGTGTAAAGGAGGGATTCACGTAAATTGGAAAAAAAGAATAGAATCTTCTAGCAAGGAGTGATGAAAGTGATTAGACATGCAAGGATCAGTTGAAGAAATAACTCCTTATTGAGAAGACAGATAGAAGGTAAGGAATATGTCTGCTCAATAATTTCTAAGTAATTAATTCAAACTTTTAGGTTCTGATAGTTTTGTGTATATACTTGATATAAAGCATGCATTACTAAAAAATGATTTGAATAATAGCACTTAACTTATGAAATGTAGTCTCTTAGAATAATGAAAATACTGTTTTGAAAACAATACCAGCAGGTCAAAGTCTCCTTTGCAAGTAATCCTCTTGTCTTAATGTCTGGCATTTTTTAATAATAGGAGCCTGTCTTCCTGTTGGAACACTTAGTGAATTTGGTATTAAAACTTTAGCCTGTTTTTGTTTGCTTTTTTTCCCTTTCCCTGGCAGCTTAGTCAAACCCTGAAACAGGCACGTCAACAGCTGGCATCCTTTAAAACTGTGAGTAAAAGGAATGCAGCAGTGTTTCCGGATGATAGAAGGAAAAGCTTTTCCACCCAAGAGGTAAATTAATTTCTAATAAATTATTATTAAAAATACAGATAAAAAATACAGATAAAGATTTATTTATAAGTCAACATTATTTTGAACTGTAAAATAATTGGAAATAACCTTAAATATTATTATTAAAAAATTACAGTATACTTACATATAGCCATTCTTAAAAACATGTTTTCAAAGAATAGCTGAACATAAGGGAAAGTGTGATATAAAGTTAAGTGAAAAAAATGGGATATAAAATGATATACAGTGCAATCTCAATTACAAAAATTCACTCAACAGATATTATGGAATGTCTATACTTGCCAAACATTATTCTGGAAGCGGGACTTAACAATAGTCAAAAGATAAACAAAGATTCTTCAAGGAGTTTCCATGCTAGTAAAGAAGCATATAATGAGTCGGCAAATAAATATAGAATATATTTTCAAATGATAAGGCTATGAAAAGAAATAAAACAGAGAGATGGGAGGAGTGTGCTGTGTGCATAAATAAAAGCTTGGGAAGAAATGGACCAACGGGTTAATACTGATTATTTCTGAGTAGTTTTATTACAGGTGATTTTTATTTTCTTTTCTTGGCTTTCTTTACAGAATTTTCTATCATTTATATATTTTACTTTCTAATCAGGGAAAAAAATCAACAATATTATTTTTTAAAAGGAAAGAGATTCTTTTGATTCAAAATATAAGGTTAGAGTGAATAATTACAACCTAACTGAAGGTAGACTTAAAAGAATATTTAAGACTATACATGTCAAATGACAGAGTTTTGGTGCCTCTTTATGTCAGTGTTCACCAATTTGGATGCTGAACTCATATATTTTCCTGTGTTTACTTACTTTTGGCATTCATTTCAGGTTTTGATATGCAGCATCTAGTAAAATGAACCATTAGCCTTTTTTTTTCACCATCAATTCTGTTTCTTATTTAGTTCTTTCTCTGTTTCATATCCTAATTGGTATTTGTAAACACTTTCCTAGATGATATGTGTGTGTGTGTATGTGTGTACATATATATATATTTTTGTATTTTTTTCTTAAGATCTCAACCCATCCATCAAGAACATTTGTCTCATATATTTGTAGTTGATAGACTACTACACTATAATATCTCCCACTTCACTGATAATTAAGAAATTTATATTTAAATATAAAAAACAAGTGGGTATGAGTATGTGTCCATTCTGGCCTTCTAGCTTAGATGCCTTTGGTGTGGTTACTTTTTTCCAGCATTTCCTTGTGACTCTCCAAGTAATTTCTTTTGATCCTAAATTCTTGTCAGCAGCTTGGTGTCTTAACAGTTTTCATAGCTACCGTCATAGTGAGGGACATTAGACTGACTTCAGGGCACTGTTGGAATGAGGTGATTGGATACATTCTAATAAACCAGAAAAAAGGGTTATTAGATCCTAGAGACTGATACTTTATATTGTGTGGAATGTGTTCAACCTTTCAATAAATGTTTTTCCTGGAAGAGTACCGTGCAGTTCTGGCTGGAATAATTACCCAGTAGAAGGGAGAAGGATTAAGTCTGAGACAGCATCCTGTAAACCAGTTTTGTGTGTCACAGGCGCCATGTCCATGTAATTCATTATGGTGGTGGTGGTGGTGATGAATTCGGGCTGACTACTTCCAAAGATTTCATATATGTTTTTCAGATAAAACATCAGAAACAAATCAACTCTGTGTAATTGAGAATGAGCTAAGAAATTAGTGAACATTTTCTTACTACTTATGTCAAGTATGTAGTTCCTCCCTCAAATATGAGCAGTCTTCTACCCCTTCCGTTGTGTGACGTGGGCATCTGTGAATCAGAAAGTAGAACAGTAGACAACCCAAATGAGCTCTAGTTTCATTTCTTTGCTAGACTTATTTTTACTGATATTAGAATCTGTCTGGTTGTCATTGTTTTTCCAGATTTGGAGATATAATTAGAAGATACACTTGCTAGCCCTCTGTCAGGGCACCAAGACAAAATCATAAGCCTTCTGAGATTGTTCTTGGCTGGGGTAGGGGCACATTGTTATCTTTAAGGTTAATATATCTTATCAGCCTATCTCACTCCATATGTTCTATATGTAGGTACCTTGTTTGTACATTTGAAGTAAAGCTCACTACTTGTTTTCCTTTATTCTGTGTGGAACTACTGTAGCCTGCTAAGATCATTCCTTTGCAGATCTTTTAGAAAGACTCAACTGAGTATTGTAAGCATATAGCTTTACATTTGTATTACTTTCCATTTTTTCCCAGAGAGTCCTTTATAGGAAACCAATATTCATAAATATAAATATAGAAACAAGAGGAGAATTGCCCTTTAAGGTCCATCAAAGTCTTTTAACTGCTGTGTTTGACCAGAAATTTATGGAATATCAGGTAGGGAAAGTAAAGAGTAGAGGCAGAAAAATACTGGCTTTTTAGAACTATCCATAGCTAATTAAGGATGGGCTTAAGGGTTAAGTTTATAATACGCAGTATTGTTTTTTTTCTAGCGGTTTTATTGAGATAAAATTAATGCAATTCACCCATTTAAAGTGTAGAATTCAGTGTTTCTTATTTTATTCACAGGGTTGTGCAACTGTCACCACAATCTAATTTAGAACATCTTCTTCACCCCTAAAAGAAACCCTGTGCCCATTAGCTGTCACTACCCATTCCCACCTTGTTCCTACCACCAGTTCTAAGCAACCACTAATCTACTCTGTCTTCTATAGACTTGCCTGTTCTGGACATTTCATATATGTGGAATCATATATGATGTGGTCTTTTTTGGCTGGCTTCTTTCACTTTGCATGATGTTTTCAGTTTAGCCATGTATGTAACACTTATCAGTACTTCATTGCTTTTTATGGATCACTAAAATCCCATTGTATGACTATATGATATTGTATATGACCACTTGTCAGTTGATGGACATTTGGGTTTCCACTTCTTGGCTTTTATGAGTGATTATGCTATGAGCAGTTATATACATGTTTTTGTGTGGACATTCATTTCTCTAGTAGTGGAATTTCTGGGTCATATGGTAACCCTATGTTTAAACTGCCAAGCTGTTTTCCATCAGTGTTATATGAGGGATCCAGTTTCTCTACATCCTTTCCAATCCTTGTTAGTGTCCGTCTTTTTAATGATAGCCATCCTAATGGGTGAGAATTGGTATCTCACTGTACTTCTGATTTATGTTTTCCTGATGACTAATGATCTTGTATATCTTTTCATGAGAAAATATCTATTCAGATGTACTTTCCATTTTCCAATTCGGTTATTTTGTTTTTCTGTTACTGGATTATAAGGGTTCTTTATACATCCTGGATCAAGTCTTTTATCAGAGACGTGATTTGCCGTTATTTTCTCCCATTCTGTGGTTGTCATCTAACTTTCTTAACACTGTCATTTGCAGCATAAAATTTTTAATTTTGGTGTGGTCCAGTTTATCTATTTTTTTCTTTCATTGCTTGTGCTTTTGTTGTAGTATGTAATAAACCATTGCTTAATTTAAGGTCATGAAGACTTCCTTCTATTTGTTCTAAGAATTTTATAATTTTACCTGTTACATTTAGGTCTATGGTCCATTTTGAGTTAATTTTTATATATAGTATGAGGAAGTGTTCTAATTTAAGTCTTTTGCATCTGGATATTTACTTGTCCCAACACCATTTGTTGAGAAAACTATTCTTTCTCTATTGAATTGTCTTGGCACCCTTGTTGCAAATCAGTTGACTATAAAGGTGAGTACTTACTGCTGTCTTAATAACACTGTCTTCTAAGATCCATGAACATTCATGTCTTTCCATTTGTGTAGATCTTCTTTAACTTCTTCCAATGGGGTTTTATAGTCCTCAGTTTAGTCTTGCACTTCTTCTGTAATTGACCTAAATACTAAAATTATATTAGTAGTGTGCTAAAGCCTAGGATTTTCTTCTAATCACATCATTTCTACCTGTAGTAGGTACATTTTTTTTCATTTTTGTGTGTTCTTTAGGTGTCTGACTCTGAGGAATCCTCATCCGTTATGACAGAGGAGAAAGGGAGAATGAATTTGTTTTCAGGGGACCAGCAGGATCCCCTTTCTGAAGATAAAGACAAGCCTCTCAGCAGAGTTCAGGTAAAGCAGAGTGAAGGGAGATAGTATATTAGGAATTAAACTAATTATGATTTGGACTAGGGATGCCAGTATTGTTTTACAGGTTTGGAACTGTAGATTGAGGTTCTGTTACGTTGAGGAAAGACTGTAATTTCACATTTTATCCTCGTAATTTGTATGACTAAATGCTCTTTTAAGATTATTGTAGGACTCTTGTGGGATACCTAGAGTATTGCTACTACTTGGTGTTCTTGATTTGATGTTTATGTTCACTTTTAGAAAGTACAATTCAAAAGTCCTTTATATGCTGTGATGGAAGAAGAAGAGCTAAAGCAGTTACATCTTCAGGGCCATCAGGATATCCTGCCAGAAACCCAGGATCATCTTCCAGAAGCCCAAGGTGATCTGTTGGAAACCCAGGGTGGTTTCACTGGAGTCCAGAGTGCTGAGCCAACACTCAGTACCCAGACTCTTGAGCTGGAAGGCCAGGCCATTGAGCAGGAAGCCCAGGTTGTTACAACAGAAACTCAGGGTATTTTGCTGGAAGCCCAGAGTCCTGAACTAAAAGATGGGAGTATTGTGTTGGATTTTCTACCCCCAAACCAGGATTTTCTACCCAAAGACCAGACTATTCAACTGAAATGTCAGGACCAGGCTATTCTACCCAAAGACCAGAATATTCTACCCAAATGTGTACTGAAAGACCAGCACCAGGATTTTCTACTCAAAGACGAGCTTATTCTCTCCATAGACCAGAATGTTCTACCCAAAGGCCAAGATCATCATTTTCTACCCCAAGATCAGTGTGTTCTCCCCAAAGACCAGAATATTCTACTCAAATATCAGGACCAGGATTTTCTACCCAGAGATCAGGTAAAGTAGAGTGGAAAGGAGATATAATAAGAAGAAATTAGCTATATAAGACTAGGATTGGGATTTGCAAGGACTATGCTGCAGCTGATTTTGGGATTTACAGTTGAGAAAAAATATTTTCCTGATTGATTTCTCAAAAGTCCAGGGTTCTCATTAAGTGTTAAAGTAGTATCAGGAGCATATTACCCCTATTTGGACAATTTACTTTTTAAAATCTTCTTCATTAGGAAAAATATTTCTGGCAGCTGTTGTCTGCTTTGACAGCTGAAAGATGGAAAAAAGAGTGGTTTACAAATGTCCAACAGTATCTTTTACCCAGCTTCCAAGGCCAGCCCTCTACCAGACATAAGTTAGACCAAAGGAAGAAGAAAGGGGTCAACAGGAGGTAGATTATTTAGGGGCTTATGAGGAAGAGACTATAGTGTTTTGTTTTATTCTGTAAGATGTTCAGTTATACTCTGTCCTTAATTCCAGAATTCTCACTACAGCCTAAAGTACTATTGATTAACCTGTCTTCTTTAACTGAACAATCAACACTTTGTGTTTTTTTTTCTAGAAAGGAAATTTGGAAGTAGCTAGCCTCAATTTTGATAGATAGGAGAGGGAGAGAGGCGGTCCCGCTGGATGTCCATCAGGATCTTCTACACAGGCATCAAGTTCAGGCCTCCATCAGGGACCAGGTAGAGCAGAAAAAGGAGACCAGCAGGAACTGAGTTTGTTTAGGGTTCAGTTTGGAACCAGAAAAGTTAAATTCACCTAAAATTTAGAATTGACAAAAAGTGTGCTTTTCTCTTTTATTCTACAGTATTTCACATTCTCCTGAGTTTAAATATTACCATAAGGCTCTCAGTAAAGCCTAGAATATTATTGCTATCGTATTTCTCCCACTGGACAATTTACAGTTTTCTTTTCTTTTCTCTTTTAGAAAGTACACTTCAAGGAGCCATATTCTGGTATGACCAATGAGAAAGAGAGAGAAGACTTTTCTCTGGCAGGTTGTCAGTATCCACCTCCTAAACTCCAGAACCAGGTTTTCATCAGAGATCAGGTAGAGCAGAATAAAAAAGATGTTAACAGGAAATAAAGCAATTGAGTTTTATACATTCTCAACAACTGGTCATATGAAATACAGATGCAGATGCAAAAGATCCTGGTCTAATGGACTGACTGCATCAATCTAATCACTTCTGTCATTCAGAAGGCTGATAAGTCACACTCATATTCTTATTGTAGAATCACTTAGATTATTTTAATTTACTAAGATTATGCTTCAATTTGTGCTGAAGCTCACAATATTGCCACATGCATCCTCTAAATGAATAAGGCAGGAAGAAGTAGCAGATCCTAATTACTTAAAATGTGGGGTGTTTGACTATTCTCTATATGGTTTGGGATTAAAACTTAAGGTCTGCAGAGTTGGGTGAAAAGTTTAACATCCTCATTCTAATCAGAGTGTATCAGAATATCCTTACCTGGTACCATTTCCCTGGAGTTCTTACCAGCACCTATACTATGATTAGCATGTTGCCCAGGTTAGACAATTTGTGTTCTATTTTCGTTGTTCCTTTAGAACATGTTTCACAAGCAATCATCTTTCATCAGCAAAGAGATAAATTACCTCTCGAGTATCATCAGTATTTAAAATCCAGGACTGTGCCTCCCCTAATGAACAGGTAGAACAGAATACAGTGGGGGGGGGACTGTCTACTTTCTAAAGAGTAATGGACGAAATTACTGAAGACTTGGGTTGGAGCTTGTTCAGCCAGTCCAGTTTGTATGTAGGCTATATACAACTAAGGCTTCTAGAATCAGGCTCAGAGTATAATGTCTTCAGTTATTCCAAAATGTGCCAGATCTAAAGAGTCCAGGTGAGAAATATCCCTGCCATTTGGGTTACATAAGAGACAAGTTTTATATAATATTGATTGGTCAACAGCAAATCATTCTTCTTAAACCCAAGTCCTTGAGCAGGTTTGGCCTCAGAAACAGTGCAAGGATTCTGCTCTTAGCCACCTGCAGCGGTGCACCAAAACCAGACGTCCAGTTTGCAGACCCATGACGATGAAGGACCAAAGAAGCTGTTTGCCACCTCAGAACGTCCCCAAGTGCCCCACCTGCAGTTTTGTGTGTGGAGTTACTGGACCATCGAGTAGGAGTACTTGTGGAAATGACACAAGCTCGTGTTCTGGCTTCACTGTGGGCAAATGCTAGCAACATTACACAAATACTGTCTTGTTGCCTTATCGTCTTCCAAGCGTATTGTTGAGTAGTTACCCCATGCGGAAAAAAAGAAAGTGCAGAATAATCTGGGATTTGCTTTAAAATGATTCAGGAAAAAAATGAGAGGAGTACTAGATGAAAAAACAAAATGTTGCTAATTGTTGAAGTTGGGTGATGGGTATCTTGGGATTCATTGTACTATTTATTTTTCTACTCTGATATATGTTTGGAAATTTTATATTAAACACACACACACACCCCTGTTGTATTCTCCTTTCGACTATCATTACTTTGGGGTTGTCACTGAAGTCTGCAATATTGCCACTAATCCATCATTTCTGCTTAGACAATGAGTTTTGTATTTTTTTTTGTTCCTTTAGAACAAGTATGTTAAGCGATTCTCATCTTTAGAGAAATGGGCGGTCAAAAGAGAAATTGCTCCTGGAGTGCCATCGGTATGCTTCACCCAGGATTCAAGACCTAACCTCTACCCAGGGAATAAGTAGAGCAGGGCAGAGTGAGGGGTCAGTGGCAGAGAGCAAATTGTTCAGCTTCTGGCTTAAAATTGTAGTAACTGCTTCAGGGGTTTAGCATAAGGTCAGTAATAATGGCTGTAGATAGAATATCCTCTTGTTCTGTGATTCGTGGAACTATCCTGGCCTATTGAAACTACTTTACGCCTCTTCACTGAAGCCTTTCCTGTTGCCCTAGCGTGATGTTCCTGCTGGGGCAACTGATGTTCAGTGTTTATGTTGTCTTTTAGGGCAGGAACTAGGGGCATGCCTCACATACTCTGGCAGATGAGAGATGGAGAGAGGAGTTATTTCTGGAGCCCCATGAATATATTTTATGTGAAATCAGGGATCCAGGCTCTGCCACAGAGCTGGTAAAGGAGAGTATAGTATAAGCAGCAGAAAGTAAATTTGAGTTTGAGCTGAGCTTACCAGAACTATGCTTCTAGCAGTGATGATGACTGTAGCATTATCTTGTATTAATACTATCAATAATATTATTAATATTATTGTGAATAGCAGTTTATATTCATTACCATATACTTTTGGTTCTATTACTTTGTATCTATTATTTCATTTAATTTCTCACAATGACCCAGTGAGATAGATGGCCTTCATTATCCTTGTTTTGTGATTGCTTTGTGGACACAGTTAAGATCCATAATCATGGGAAGAAATATAATGTCTACTTTTATGCCATAATGTACCAGACTCTTCTGCCAGATTTAGATTACCTCGGGGCTGTCACTGCAGCCAACAGTATTTTCATTCCGTTGTGTTAATCCTTATACAAATTGATGAGTGCTTTCGTGTCTTTCAGAACATATACTTGAGGCAGCAGCCATTTGTTGAGACAACTGAAAGATGGCAAGAGGAATTGCATCTGGATGGCCATCGGCATCTTCCTCCCAAGCACCAGAGAGGGGCTTCTAGCAGAAGACAGGTAGAGTGGGCCACAGAGCGTGAGCAGGGGGCAGTGGGGTTTAGGCAGGATTACAGGTACCTGCTGAGCTGGGAGTGGTGAGGTTGAGCAAAAAGCAGATTATTGTTTTATTTCATACTGTGTAAAACCCTATCCTGGCCTAAGAGTATGTTAGGGCTCTCACTAAAAGTTAGGGTATTGTTAGGAGTGTTTGTTGCCTATTGGAAAGACTACATTTTTTATATGTTCTTTTAGAAAAAGTGTATTTCTTATGGCCATTGCCTTTAACGGCGTGAGAAGGGAAGATACGAATGGTTCCTGAGGGGGAGGGGTCAGGAGGCTCTCCCACCCAGTGGCAAGGACTAGATCTCCAGCAGGAAGCTGGTAGAGCACGGGGCAGGATCAGCAAGAAATAAACCCGTTGGAGTTTGGCCTGGAACTAGTCAGGTCATATTGCCTAAGTTTTGGTGTATTGAGTTAAACTGCATAGTTTTTCAAGAGAATGTTTCAATACCGAGGCCTACTAAGATTCTTCCATGGCTCAACTGAAGTCTGTTTTATTCGCGTTAGAATTTTATCGCGGGGTTACTTCTATCTTGTGGTTTTTATGTTATTTGAGAAATAGAGCCTTCATGCAACTGGCATTGTCAGGATATATGAAAGAATAAAGAGACATTTCTGCTTGGCCCTTTTAGGAGATCAGAAAGAAAAGGAGGCATAAAGGCTGATTTGGGCTGAGGTTCTCAGGACTAAGCTGCAGCTCTTTTGTGACTTTTAGCTTGGATGTGCAAGGTTGGCCTTAAGACACTGCCATGGTTTATTCCATGCTGTCCTCCATGGATCCTGAACTGTCCCTGCTCTTTCCTACCTCAGGTCTCTTGCATATGTTTTTTCCCTCCAGCTGGATATTCTTTTTTCTTCACAAAGCTGGTCCCTTCTCATCCTTCAGGTTTCAGCGTAAATGTCACCTCCTTAGAAAAGTAAAGTGAAACCACCCTGACCACCTTCTCAAAAATAGGTCTCCCCTCTTCTGCTTTCCTCTATCCTTTCATTGTTTCCTTCTCAGCACACAAAACACTTTGTAATTATTTGTTTATTTACATTTTCTGCTAGTCTGTAAGCTTTATGAAGAGAGGCCCCGCACCCATTTTGTTTACCAGTGTGTAGATGGCCTTTAACACAGTGCCTCAGACCTAATAGTATCTTGCTAATATGTTTTGAATGAACCAACCAATCCAGCATTTATTGAGCACCTGTTAGAAGATAGCCATTGTTTAGATATTAAATATCAAAGATATAGCTGTGAACAAGACACAGAACTCAAATTTTAGACAGCTTAAAGAAGAGAGACTGACATATAAGCAGATAATGATAAAGCAACATAATTCGTGGTGGAGGACGCGTGGGGCATTAACTGAGCCCAGAAGAGGAGTTCCTTTCCCTGATTATTCAATTGAAGATGCTGCTTTCTTGTCCTTCTGCCAGACTGGCCGTAAACATCCTCACTCCTGGATTAGTTGTTTTTCCTTTTAGACTCCAAGAAAATCCAGTCTTTTTGGAGAAAGCACTTTAATTGTGTAGCTTCAGACCACATTCATGCTTAGGGTTTACAGTCTCAAAAGTAGAAAAATCCACTTTTCTAGCTTAGCCCTCTTCAAGAGACCCACCCTTTACATTCTCTGGATACTAGGGCCACATTCCCTGGAATTTTACAGTCAGTGAAAGAGAGAAGCTAAGAGTGGGCTCACTCCTTGGCCAGTGCGGGAAGTCCAGTTTTTCTTACTTTTTTGAAAGCAGAAAATAATTTTATTTTTATTATAGCAAAAGCAAACAAATAAACAAAAAGAAAAAAAATAACCAAAAATTCCAGAGATAACCACCATCAGCCTTTTGCTCTGTATATTTTCAGATTTTACCTATAACAAACAAATGAATAACTTTAAAAATGATAGCATTATTGAGATACATAGTTGATTCTTGTTATTCACCATAGATATATTCTATAAAGTTGTTGTGAGCACTGAATTAGTAAATACTGAACCGTTGCTCCTAAGGAAGATTAGGTTTTTGTGAGTCTCTGATCAGATCACAGCATTTTGATCAGCCTTGTTTTATGTGATTTTCTGTTTAAAGGTACCTTATTTAATATATATTGTCAATTCATTAACATTGAACTCAGGGCCAGTAGCACTATAGCTCATGCCTAAATGAAGTTTATTTAATACATGTATTTTTTCTGTAAGGTTCATCACAGCCTTCTCATGCTTTGGAATACTGGATAGTTCTTCAGCACTGTGCCTAGAAGCCATTTTAAACCATGAAGTCCCCCCAAAAAGCACAAAAATACAAAAACTTTGGCACTAAATACACCTTGAAAAGGATACTTGTTTACAATTTGAAGGCTGAAACAAGACAGAACATATCCCTGTTCAACCTCAGGTGGCAGCATATACATCTGGTAATTCAAATTTTCCACAGCTCTTTGCATGTCTGTAATGACCAGAAAAGCACTGCGAGCATTAATTTTGGTATTACAAATAAATTCTAGTGAATAGGTGATTCATAAATAAGGAGTGCATAAATAATGAAGATTGACTGTAGTTTGCATACCATACAACCAATCCATTTAAAGTATACAATTCAGTGTTTTTAGTACATTCAAAGGGTTGTGCAAACTTTGCCACTATTTTTTTTTTTAAACATTTTCATCACCCTCCAAAAGTCCTTTACCCGTTAGAAGCCCCTCCCTTTCTCCCTTCATCCCCAATCCCAGACTAGGCCACCACTAATCTACTTTCTGTCTCTAGATTTGCTTATTCTACACTTTTCATATAAATGGGATCATTCACGCTGGTCTTGTGTGACTAGCTTCTTTCACTTAGCATAATGTTTTCAGTTCTTTGACTTTTAGTATATAGCAGTATTCAATTCATATTCATTGGATAATATTCTATTTTATGCATATAGCACATTTATCCACCTATCAGTTAATGGACATTTGGATTGTTTCCACTTGTGTATGATGAGTAATGCTGCTATGAATATTTGTGTACAAGTTTTTCTGTGGATATATATCTTCATTTCTCTTGGGTATATACCAAGGATTGGAATTGCTGGGACACGTGGTAACTACACTTACTGACTTTAGAGGAACTGCCAAACTGGTTTCCAAAGTGGTTCTATTTTTCATTGCCACCAGCAGTATAGGAGGGTTCCAGTTTCTCCACATCTTCAGCAAGACTTGTCTTTTTAATTGTAGTCTTAATGGGTGTGAAATGGGATCTCATTGTGGTTTTGATTTACATTTTCCTGATGGTTTCATGTGCTTATTGGCCATTTGTATATCTTCTTTGGAAGATTGTTGATTAGATCCTCAACCCAATTTGTATTTGGGTTGTCTTTTGATTATTGAATTATGTTAGTTCTTAGTATATACATACAGGTCTCTTATTAGTCATATGATTTGCAAATGTTTTCTCCCATTCTTTGGGTATCTTTTCACTTTCTTGATGGTTTCCTTTGCAGCACAAAAATTTTTAATTTTGAAGAAGTCCAAGTCATTTACTTTCCTTTTGTGGCATATGGTTTTGGTGTTATTTCAAAGAAACCATCACCTAATCCAAGATTTACTCCTTTGTGCTCCTCTCTGTGAAAAAATATATTTCATGCATTATATCTGTGATCGATCCACTTTGAGTTAATTTTCATGAGTGGTGTTAGGTAGGGATCCAGTGTCATTCTTTTGCATATGGATATCCAGTTGTTCCAACATCATCTGTTGAAAAGACTCTTCCTCCCTATTGAATTCTCTTAGCACTCTTGTCAGAAATCATTTGATTGTAAAAATAAGGGTTTATTTCTCAGCTATCAGTTCTAGTCCATTGATCTGTTAGTCTGTCCTTATGCCAGTACCACCCTGTCTTGAATTACTGTAGTTTTGTAGAAAGCTTTGATTTAGGAAGAGTGAGTCCTCCAACTTTGTCTTTCTGTTTCAAGATCATCTCAGCTATTTTAGGTCCCTTGCATTTTCATATGAATTCTACAAAGAAGTTAACTGAAATTGTTTTGAAAAATGCATTAAATCTGTTGATCAATTTGGGGGGGATGAGTACTGCCATCTTATCAATATTAAATCTTCTGATCTCATGACATGAGATGCTTTTCCATTCATTTAAATCTTATTTAATTTCTTTCAACAATGTTTTGTAGGCTTCAGAGTATAAAATTTATACTTCCTTTATTAAATTTATTTCTAACTATTTTTGATGGTATATAGACTTTTCCCTTAATTTCATTTTCAGATAAAGTTCATCTAGGTACATAGAAATGCAATTGATTTTTGTATATTGATCTTGTATCTTGCTATGTCACCAAAAGATAAATAACTTTTAAGCAAAAAATATTAAAGTAACTTTAGGCTTTTATTTCTGAAAGTTAGAGATCATAATTTGACCCATATAGTATCCAAGTAGGTCTATGTCATTATGTTATAGGCTTTCCTGGTAATGGGGGAAGTTAGCTCCAGTTTCCTTCGTGCCATGTCAGTTGATTGTTATATTTTCAGGCTGTTACCCTCTGGACTCATGCCCATCAAGAGAGTTGTATAAATGTAAAATTATTATATATTTGAGATACTAAAAGATACAGCTTTTATATCCTGGACTTAATCCCAAGCACATTTTTGATAGAGTGATTTTAAGTGACCACTTTAGAAGAGCTTACATTCTGAACATTTTGATTTGTCATTTCTCCATCTGTGTTTTTGAATCTTTTTCTTTGGTTTATTGTTTTTTGATTGGTTAATTCCTTTTGAAACTGCTTCCTTTCATTCTTTAAACATTTATTAAAATTTTTTTTTTATCCTCTTGAGCTCAAGGTTGCTGGAGAAAGGAATCAATAGATGAAAATATCAAAAATGTGCACAGGGCTAGCTTTTGGCAATTTTGTCACTTTGTGTGACTGGACTTTCTAACAGGTTTATGATGAATATCAGTCAGGATTGAACACTGGGTTCCCAACTCCACTGGCACCTCAGTCTGGGGTAGATCAAGAGGAAAAGAAGAAAGAGGTATGTAATGACAACTGTTTTGGGGCATCAGTATTTCTACTATAATATATGTAGTATATATTTCACATATATAGTAGATGTAAAATTGGAAACAATTTGTTTCCTTACACATTAAGAGCTCATAGTTACTTGGGTCATTATAATACATTAAACTTCTGAGCAACTAGGATTTAGAGTAGCTTGATGTGAAGTCAGAGATTTGATCCTAGGGAATTTCCCAAGTTAGTGTATACTTGCCACAATAACTTATTTAAAGAAAGAGTTTTAATTTGTGATCCCCTTTTTTTTCATTTCAACCCAAAGTTAGTTTAAACTAACAGTTTTTGACACTGGCTGTGCACCAAAATCAGATGTGGATTTCTTTTCAAAATACAGATGCTTAGACCCAAATCAGATATCTGAAAAGGTGGTTTGGAAGCATCTGTGGTTTTAAAAAATACAACTGATAATTGTGATGTATCTTCAATATTGAGAATTGCTATTAAACTTTTAATATTTTTTACTAAAACGACACAAGCTACTCAAAGGGCAAAAACATGTCAATGTGTATATCTGTGTGTACATTAGTGCCCTCTGAGTAGCTTGTATTCTTAAAAGAGAACATATAAATCCAGAGGTATGAACAGATTATATATAGGGTAGTAGCACTTGCTTTTATTTTACTTGTTTCCTTTAAAAGTATGATACTCTTCTCTCCTCTTCACCATATTACACTCTGCTAAGAGTTTGTTTTCGTGGTGTGGGTTTAATTTTGCAAAGTTAAAGTGACTATTACTCTGTTTTAAAATACTTCTCACGTGTTTCTTTGGCCCTGTACCTATGGTACTTACTACTTGGGAACACAGAGTAAACATATAGTGTATATCTTATCACATCAAATACAGTCATTTCCTCAATTACTTTTGACAAGGGGCAAACTATATTAGTACTTCTTTCTCTGATTTGTCTGAAACACCTAATAGCTATCTTGCCCAATGTGATATTATCCTGAGTCACCGTAAAGAGAAGGAAATTAAGGACTTAATTGCACATGACTTCTATATGATACTATTTTTTTGTCTATTGCACAAGGATATTTTCCTTCCTTGGAAAGTCCTCTGACAGCAGAAACTTAACAATTCTAACTTCTTTCCTTTAGCGTCAAAAGCAGTACCTCAGGTATAGACGACTTTTCATGGATATTGAAAGAGAACAGGTGAGAGAACAACAAAGGCAAAAAGAACATAGGAAGAAAATTGACAAGTAAGTTCTCTCATCTTCATCTTAAATTATCTGTTAAGATGATTTTGGAAGCATAAGTTTTAGAAGTAATGAGGCAGTAGTTTTGCCTTCTGATTCATAGTGGAAACAACTATTTTTGATCTGGGTAGGAGTATTAAAAGATGGTTAAAGAGCTATGTTTTTATTTTGTGGGACAGTTGTAGGTTTACAACATTAAGCACAAAGTACAGAGAGTTCCCATTTAACTTCCTGCCCCTAAACGTGAACTGCCTCCTCTCCTATCAACATCCAGTGGTACATTTGTTGCAGCTGATAAACCTATGTTGATGCATGGTAATCCATGTTCACATTAGGATTCACATTTGCTGTTGTACATTCTTACAGGTTTTGACAAATGCATAGTGGCATATATGTCCACATAATATCATATGGAATAGTTTTGCTGTCCTAAAAACACTTCATGCTCCATCTATTCATCTCTCCCTTCCCCCAGCCATGGCAACCACTGATCTTTTTTACTGTGTCCATTGTTTTGCCATTGCCAGAATGTCTTGTAGTTGGAATCATAAGGTATGTAGCCTTTTCAGATTGGCTTCTTTCATTTAGTAATATGCACTTAAGGTTCCTCCAAAGCCTGTTAATGGCTTGATAGCTCATTTCTTTTTAGTCCTGAATAATATTCTATTGTCTGCATGAACCACAGTTTATTCATTCACCTTCTGAGGAATATCTTGGTTTCTTCCAAGATTGAGCAATTATAAAAAAAGTGGCTACAAATTCACATGCAGGTTTTGCGTGGGCCTCAGTTTTCAACTCTTTGGGTAAATACTAAGGAGTGAATTTGCTGGATCTTATAGTAAGAGTATCTTTACTCTTGTAAGAAACTGCCAAACGTTCTTCCAAAGTGGCTGTACCATTTTGCATTCCACCGGTAATTAATGAGAGTGCCTTTTGCTCCACATCCTCTCCAGCATTTGGTGGTGTCAGTGTTTTGGATTTTGGTCATTCTATTAGGTGTGCACTGGTATTTCATTTTTGTTCATATACTTATTGGCCGTCTGTATATCTTCTTTGATGAAGTATCCAGGTTTTTGCCCCATTTTAATTGGGCTATTTTCCTTAATAGTTTTGAGTTCTTTGTATATTTTTGATAACAGTACTTTACCAGATGTGTCTTTTGCAAATCTTTTCTCCTAGTCTGTGGCTTGAATTCTCATTCCTTTGACATTGTCTTTTGAACAGCAAAAGTTTTTAATTTTAATGAAGTCCAGCTTATAATTATTTCTTTCAGGATTATGTCTTTGGTGTTGTATCTAAAAGTCATTACCATATCCAGAGTGCTGTTATCTTCTAGGAGTTTTATAACTTTGTGTTTTACATTTAGCTCTATGATGCATTTTGAGTTAATTTTTGTAAGGGGTATAAGTTCAGTGACTGGATTCATGCTTTTGCATATGGATATTCATTTTTCATTCACCATTTGGTGATAAGACTTTCTTTGCTTCATTGTATTGCATTTGCTCCTTTGCCAAAGATCAGTTAGCTATGTTGATGTGGATCTATTTCTGGGCAATCTTTTCTGTTCTCTTGACCTGTTTGTCTCTTCTTTTGCCCATACCACAGTGTCTTAGTAAGGAAATCATGCCTGTAAGACTCACTTTAGCTTTAAGAACACACATAGGGTGAAAGTGAAAGGATGGAAAAAGACATTCCATGCAAACAGTCTCTAAGAGAGGAGGGGTATCTATCCTTACATCAGACTAGTTAAGTTAAAAAGGGTCATAATAGACAAAGAAGTTCATTATATAATAATAAAGGAGTCCATTATATCAAGCTGATATAACTATTGCAAATACCTATCCAACATTGAAATACCTAAATATAAAACAAACACAAACAGAACTGAAAGGAGAAATAAACAGCAATACAGTAATAGTAAGGACTTTAATACCTCCCTCTCAACAATGGATATAACATCCTGACAGAAAAATCAATAAGGAAACAATAGTTTCCTTGTTTTTGAACAACACTGTAGACCAAATGGACCTAAAACACATACACAGCATCTTCTCCAACAGCAGCACAACACATTCTTCTCAAGAACACACAGAGCATTCTCTGGGATAGATCATATGTTAGGCCACAAAACAAGTGTTAACAAATTCAAGAAAATTGAACTTCTGTCAAGTATTTTTTCCAAATATAATGATATAAAACTAAAAATCAATAACAGGAGGAAAATTGGAAAATTCCTAAGTACATACATGGAAATAAGCACTCTCTTGAACAACTAATTGCTTAAAAAAGAAATTAAAAGGAAAATCAAAAAATATTTTGAGACAAATGAAAAAAGAAACACAATATACCAAAACATATGACATGCAACAAAAGCAGTTCTAAGAGGAAGGTTTACAGTTATAAATACCTTTAAGGGAAAAGAAAGATCTCAAACAATCTAACCTTACACCTCAAGAACTAAAATAACAAGAGCAAACTATGCCCAGAGTTAGCCCAAGGAAGGAAATAATAAGGATTAGAGCAGAAAAAAATGAACTGGAGATTAGGAAAAAATAATCAGTGAAACTAAGAGTGAGTTTTTTGAGAAGATAAACAAAATTGAAATCCTTAGCTAGATTAACCATTAAAAATATAAAGAGAGAGAACTCAAAGAAAATTATAAATGAAATAGGAGACAACTGCTACCACAGAAACAAAGGATCATGAGACACTACTATGAATAATTATATACCAACAAATAGGACAACCTAGAAAAAAATGGATAAATTTCTAGAAATA